AGATATAGATATAGATATAGATATATATATATATACTGCTTTACATCGCTTGTATTTAAATGAAAGAGGGTTAGCTGTGATGTAGCCTTCATGTATGATACACAATAATAATACGTACCTGATGTGTTCCTCGATCTGATGTGTGGATATCATCTCCTTACAGTTGGGACATTGCTGCATGAGCACTGCTGCGGCACCTCCGCTCTGTGCCTTGGGATCGTACGGCTTCACTACAACCTGCCGGTAGTTGGATGGACAGGTTAAGTGCATGAGAATAAACACAACGACAAATGGGTCAATGTACACGATGGGAATGTATGAGAATAAACACAACGACAAATGGGTCAATGTACACGATGGGAATGTATGAGAATGCCCGCCCACCTGCGATATGTGGATGCACGAGACTGGGATATATGTGGATACGAGCACAATGCACCATGCGAGGAGAAGGCTTGGAGAAGGGATGTTGGTCATCGATACGCAGATGGCGAATGACGTTGGAGAAAAGCGTTGTCACGTGTGCGTTTACAGATCATACAGATCATGCGGCGATCATCGTTGCAAGGGTGGCGATGGGAAGCACGAGTGATCTCAGTTGTGTTCATAGAGCAAACGGCGTCGGTATAATCCGTTGAGTTTGTAGGTATTGAAAACAAGCTTAAGACTACGTACGTACGAGGAAAGCGTGGGATGTCGATGAGAAGTGCAGATTGTATTCGACAATTGGGTTAATGGCAATTGATGGTATTGATCTTTCCATGGTTTTGCCAGTGTGTAATACAGTGACGCATAGCAACATATACCAGCTACACACTGAAGGTATTCATAATAGAACCTAGTGAATTTGTACGAAAGTACGGTGAGAAGAATCTCCCGGTGTGTACTCTCATAAATGGGCAACTGTTGCAACGGTCTAGCACGTTGTGGGGTGTGTGCCTGAAGCACAAGGACCTCGAGAAACTTGGTACCAAGTAATGCGCTTCTGCACCGATACACAAAGTAACGATCGTCTCTGCCACATGTCAGTACATTCAGGACACGTGACAAAAGAACCACTTCTCCAGCCGAGAAAGTAATATCAGTCATCAGCCGCAGCAGTTTGGATACTCATCAATCGCAAAGGTGTCCGTAAGTACAGACTGTGTGCGGTAGACTGCGTGCGTATATGAACTGGGCGCGGGGGTGGGGAGGGTAGGTGGATAGGCGATTACGCATTGCACGTGTAGATAGTTGGCGTTACAATGGCACTGTGAGCCAAATATAACGATAAGCACTGCAGCGTAGTATATGGGTGCGATGAGGAATCACAGAAGATGTCTGTCGCTTGAAAGATACTCGAAAACATACCGTTTCAGGTTCTAGTGTTGGTGGCGCTTCGGCTTCTGGGGATGACATTTGCATATCTTCCTCTGCTTGTATAAAGAGTAGTAAGTATATAAGTAAGCGAGCATTTGTGTGTAGGCCAGACACCCGCACACACACACACACACATGCATATAGATGTGTGTGATGGTATATGTACGTTTGCAAGCTATATATATATAGATATATATATATATATATATATACATAAATATATTTATAAATACATATAAATACATACAAATATAAATATAAACAAAATGGATATGTATATATATATATATATAAATATGTGTGTGTGTGTGTGTGTGTGTGTGTGTGTGTGTGTGTGT